GAGCCTTCTCCTGCTCAGAGAAAAAGTGAGATTTCAAATGTGGAGGAGTCTGGGATGTTACCACCACTCTTAAAAATGTAGACATGTGGGATCCCTGGGTGGTTCAGCGGTTTAGCACCTGCCTTTGGCTCAGGGCGTGATCCTGGAGTCCCAGGATCGGGACTTCCCGCGTAGGGCTCCCTGCGTGGAGCCTGCTTCTCCCTCTGCCTGTGTCTCTGCCTCTCTCTCTCTCTCTCTCTCTCTCTCTCTCTCTCATGAATAAGTAAATTTAAAAAAATCTAAAAAAAAATGTAGACATGTCTGCTTTTTTAAAAACATAAATGAATTCAAGCAAGTTTGCACTTTTTTGAAATTCAGTTTATTTCAGAAAAGTTAGCTATAATCACAGTCTTATCTAAATCATAGTGTCTTCCAGTATTTATTCACTCACATGAAATTATCTGTAATTTTAATGAGCCTATCATAGCTTTTTATATTCTGTGTTTATAGATACATATTCTTATGTTAGCATAACTTCCATACTTATTATTATAGCAAACAAAGCATAATATAAGTTTCAGGATATAACATTCCACAGTAATAAACTGTTTCCCTTTTGTTGGGTTATAATAATAGTAGTAACAATAACTATCACTTAGTGATGCCTAAGCAGTTGAGTGTTTGCCTTCCCCTTGGGTTGTGTTCCTGGAGTCCTGGGATTGTCTCCCATTGGGCTCCCTGTAGGGAGTCTGCTTCTCCATCTGCCTGTGTCTCTGCCTCCCTCTCTCTTTTTCTCTGATGAATAAATAAATAAAATCTTTAAATAAAAAGTTACTACTTATTGACTATTTATACAGTAAGTATTCTGTTAAGAGCTTCTTTTAACAAAATAGACACCAAGCTTAGTTTGTTAAGTAGAAATGCCTAGAATTTGATATATGTAAGGTTCCACCTCTGTGTGACATTAATCAAGAAAGAACTTCCTATTCTTTGCTCATTTTTAACTTATTCCTCTGAAAAAAATAAAACTGGAAATAGGTTGACCTTGAGGTTGTACCTCCCAGAGTCACACATTTCAAGAAGTGGGGAAGATTGTAATTGAGAACTACTCCTGAACTTGATTTGCCCAAATCTGTAAGGTGAAGAGGTGTATACTATTTTGTCCATATTTCCAAATGGATTTACAGGATAATTAAGCAGTAGGTGCCCCCCAATAATGTGCTAACTGTTCATTTTTTACACACCAGATCTCAGGTTTGCTTTTGCATTCTTCTTCTGTTCATTCTCCATTTCTTCTTTCAACAAATAACAGATGTCTTGTGCACCAAGCATTTCTGAATCGCTATTATATTCAGGTTGCAGCTGGCATGAAAGAGGTGTTGTCTGGTCAACAAGAGTCAAAAGACTTAGGTGTGGTCTCCGCTGCTAGGCTAGTAGTAGGCAGGCAGAAATGTCTGTGGTGTGTGTGTGTGTGTGTGTGTGTGTGTTACATATCTGTCTTCTGAATGAGACTATAGTGGTCATTTTGATATCATGGTATCAATGAAGATAATCAAGATACAATCTCCTGGGAAAGACACATATTAACAAAGAATACACTATGACTTATAGTATTAGGCTTATGCACAAAAGGTTGTGGCTGTATAATTCTGCCCAAGGGATTCAGGGTGGCAACAAAATTCACTACTGAATTAAACTTTCTTTTTCAAGCCAATAGCAATTTATCAGTGATATTAGAAAAGAGCTCAATGTTAAAAAGTGTAATCTACCCAAAGAAAGCAGAAAATGCAAAGTCAGGAGAGACCTACATTCCAGTAATCCTTTTCTTATAGCTGTCATTGTCATGGTGGATGGATGAGTGTTAGCACAGGAGGGTGGGAAAGTAAGCAGAGGTAGATCTGAGAGAAGGTGGGAAGCTGGTAAATATCACATACTTCCTACGTGACAGGCAATATGCTGGACATTCTATGTACCTTTTTTCTTCTAAGTTTTGAATAACCCTGTTTTAGAGGTGGTGGAAATGAGACTTTGAATTTGAAGTTGTTCAAGGTCATACAGCAAGAAAATGGTGAATTTGGTGTTCAGAGCCAAGTCTTTGAGATCAGAATCTCTCCCATCTTCACCAAGATGCAATTAGTAGTTAAATGGAAAACCACATCGATGGCTTCTCATTTATTTGTTTTTTTTTAAAGATTTTTAAAAATTTATTCATGAGAGACACACAGAGAGAAGCAGAGATGTAGGCAGAGGGAGAAGCAGGGAGCCCAATGTGGGACTCAACCCCAGGACCCTGGATCACAACCTGAGCTAAAGGTGGATGCTCAACCACTGAGCCACCTAGATGCCCCTATTTCAATGTAATTAACTTCTGTGAAGATAAATTTTTGGGATTTTGTTCTGCGTTGTCTCAAACTACATTGACAGTACAACACGGATGTTCTACAAAACTTATTTTAATTTTCTTTGATGTCTTTCAAATGTAAATGTTTCCTCTTCATAAAGATAGCATGGTTTTCCATGGGCCACAGAGCAGATTATTTTTAATAAGACTTATAAATTATTTTTTTGTTTTTTAAGTTATATTTAAAGGCTAGTTAATATACAGTGTAATATTAGTTTTTGGTATACAATTTAGTGATTCAACACTTACATGCAATACCCGGTGTTCATCACAACAGTTTCTTCTTTATAGGCATTATGCTGTGTTTTGTTTACCTTCATCACCCCTTTATCCATCCTTAGATATGGCTAGTGAGAACATCTTGGCCCATTCGAAAATGACACCTATCCTGGTGGCCAGCTTTCTCCATCCATCCGCATCGGCCCAGCCTGTGTGCCAGATTGAATGTGGTGGAGTCTAACCTCCTTCCAGGGAAAAGCCCATTGCCCCTCCCAAACAAGCTTGGTCATGATCAGTTGTTTCATTGCCTTTGGGACTCCCCGTCTTATGAGAGGATTGGATTCCCACCACTTGCTTACGGTCTGCCCGATAGTGTGCTCTTTCTCTAATATTATCCCCTCCAAAAGAAGGGTTAACAATTCTCTAGACCAGAAACCAGATAACCATTTCAATAAAAGGTCATATAGTCTATATTTTAGACTCTGCGAGTCATGCTATTTGTCACAACCTCTCAACTCTGCCATTGTAGTGTGAAAGCAGCCAGAGACTATGTAAATGAATGGCTGTGGCTATGTTCCAATAAAACTTTATTTATAGACTTTGAAATTTGAATTCCAAATAATTTGCATGCTTCTTTTGATTCCTTTCAACGATTTAAAAATGTAAGACCCATTCTTAGCTCAAAAACAGACAGCAGGCTGCAGTTTGCCAGCCTCTACTCTAGACAGTGCACCACAGTACTCACTGCTTCTTCAGCAGGGTCATTTTGGGTCTGACTGTTGGAGTCTCTGAATGTAACTTTTTCTACAGCATCTCCAATCCAAAGAAACTTTTCCTAGTTCCTTCCTGGAGCCTTTAGTCATTTCTGTTTGCTCCTGCCTTTGTGCCAGGGAAGGACAGCATGAAGGGATCTGGCATAGGGGAAGGTGCTTAGGTTCTGTTTAGCAAGCTGGTATCTGATCTGAGCATGAAAGGTGAATTCTTTTCCTCTGGAAAATTTCTTTGTTCTTAACCTTTTGCCGTTCTTCAGGAATCTCTTTAATTGAAGAAAAATTAAACTGACTGCTAATTAATTTGTAATTCTTTGAGGGAACATATATGAGTATAATTCACATGATTTTTCAAATTACTTATTCTACTTTTTTTCTCTTGAGATCATGTTGCAAACAGGAAGATAACTTTGGCAAGTAAATGAAAGGATTGATGAAACAAAAAATGTGAATTTAGACAAAAAATATATGCCAATTCCTACTTTTGTTGTTGCCATTTACTTGTTCATTTACTTAGCAAATATATACATGTGCCAGGCACTCAATCCCAAAATGAAATCTCACTTTATAGCTCTACATACGGTGATGAGCAGAGTACCATGCTTATCTTCCAGAGAACTACAGGGGAGGCAGAGATCAATGAAATTCATCTTTCTATGATCTTCTTGGTATCTGTTACTCATATTGTAGGACATACGGGGTACAAGTAAGTGTAGGATGAGGCATGTGCCTGCACACTCCACATGGTATGTTAAAAGAGGTCAGAGTCTGGGCCCAGTTGCTCTACTATTCTGAGCCCTAAATGTTATAAATGACATTATCTATGTTGCAGCTTTGTTGTGAAGCCAAAAAACCCCCCAAAAAACTATCATTCAGAGACATGATATAATGTTTGGTATGTAGGCCTTAAAAAGTATTCCATATACTTAGGGTGTTAAAAATGCCCTTTGTTTTGTCCTTTTTATTATTATTTATTTTAGAGAAAGAGAGAATGTGAGGGGCAGTGGAGAGAGGCAGAGAGAGGAGAGAGAGACAATCTTAAGCAGACTCCATGCCCAGCAGAGGGCCTGATGTGGGGCTTGATCCCACGATCCTGAGATCATGACCTGAGCTGAAATCTAGAGTCAGACACTTAACTGACTGAGCCACTCAGGCATCTCTGTTTTATTCTTTGTTGGTAAATGTATAGCCTTCAGTAATGTTACACCAATTTACTACTAAATTTACTACTTTCTAATGAGACTTATTTGTTGACTGCATAGTGCATTTCCATGGCTATACTATGCATTGTGGGGAAAACAGAGATGTGTGCATTAAGGCCCTTCTGCTGGATGTCAAACTTTTTTTTTTTTTTTAAGATTTATTTATTCATTCATGAAAGACACAGAGAGAGAGACACACACACACACAGGCAGAGGGAGAAGCAGGCTACCTGCAGGGAGCCTGATGCGGGACTTAATCCCAGGACTCCAGGATCATGCCCTGGGCCGTAGGCAGATGCTTAACCACTGAGTCACCCAGGCATCCCTGTCAAACATTTTTCTTAATGCTGTAGGTTGGAAAGATACTCTTGTATGAATGATATAAAATAACACTTACTGACTTTGTTCTCTCTTTGTGTGTCTTTTTAGATCTGAATAGTGATGGCACATATTTCAGTCTGAATTGCTCAGTGAGCTGTGGATTGATGGAACTATAAACATTCCCGTCCTGATGTACACCTCGAAGGCCCTTCACTGGTAGGTATTTTCTACTCAGTATCATTTACATAGTTACATATTGAGATCTTCAACAGAGTATATATTTATAATGAAAAAACGTGCAAGGTAAAGGTGTTCATGTTGCTGTTATGAATGTATTTAGATTTATTCTAGTTATGTGCCAACCAACTGCAAAATGAAAGAACAGGTTAAAATGCATCTGTTATGTATGTGTATGTCTATTTGTATGGTAATATATATGCATTTTCATAGCAGAGTTTAGGAGTATAGAATTTTACCTCTCTTTTAACTGAGAAAAAATTTTATTGGGAAGTTTCAATGACTTTTGGTTTTGTAATATCATATAAATCTGGCAATATAAGCGTAAAAATTTTACTTAATGTATTGAAGGGGTTTGATTTTATTGTAGTTTTAAACAACAAGATATGTGATAACGCTTCCACTTACACATGTGTCCTATGGTAAATGATAGGTGATGTTTATAGTGTCATGAAAAGGGAGTTATACTATGTCAGAAAACCTTACTTTTATCATATGACTAGTTCCTTAGGTATCCAGGCCTCAGTTTTCTCCGTCTGCAAAATGAGAGGAAGAATTTCTGCTTTACCTAATTAATAAGATTATAGATCTAGTGAGATAATAGTATGAAATTATTAATTAACCACAAACTCCATTAAAAAATCCCATCTAGGTCAGGTGTGACTGACCTATATTTTAATTAGGGAGTTGGACAAAAGTTGTGATCATACTTTGCTTTTTTTTATTTTTTAAATTTAAATTCTAGTAATGTTAACAGACAGTATAATATTAGTTTCTGGTGTACAATTAGTGATTCAATACTTCATATGTCACCCATTGCTCCTTAATCCCCATATACTTTGCTTTTTAAGGTGGTTAATACAGCTTGATATTTTGTGTATTATTCCCCTAGAATATAAAATCATACCTAATTTTATTTTATTTTATTTTATTTTTTAATAAATTAATTTTTATTGGTGTTCAATTTACCAACATACAGAATAACACCCAGTGCTCATCCCGTCAAGTGTCCCCCTCAGTGCCCTTCACCCATTCACCCCCACCCTCCGCCCTCCTCCCCTTCCACCACCCCTAGTTCGTTTCCCAGAGTTAGGAGTCTTTATGCTCTGTCTCCCTTTCTGATATTTCCCACACATTTCTTCTCCCTTCCCTTATATTCCCTTTCACTATTATTCATATTCCCCAAATGAAAGAGAACATACACTGTTTGTCCTTCTCCGATTGACTTACTTCACTCAGCATAATACCCTCCAGTTCCATCCACGTTGAAGCAAATGGTGGGTATTTGTCGTTTCTAATGGCTGAGTAATATTCCATTGTATACATAGACCACATCTTCTTTATCCATTCATCTTTCGATGGACACCGAGGCTCCTTCCACAGCTTGGCTATTGTGGACATGGCTGCTAGAAACATCGGGGTGCAGGTGTGGCGTTTCATTGCATCTGAATCTTTGGGGTAAATCCCTAACAGTGCAATTGCTGGGTCTTACGGCAGCTCTATTTTTAACTCTTTGAGGAACCTCCACACAGTTTTCCAGAGTGGCTGCACCAGTTCACATTCCCACCAACAGTGTAAGAGTGTTCCCTTTTCTCCACATCCTCTCCAACATTTGTGGGTTTCCTGCCTTGTTAATTTTCCCCATTCTCACTGGTGTGAGGTGGTATCTCATTGTGGTTTTGATTTGTATTTCCCTGATGGCAAGTGATGCAGAGCATTTTCTCATGTGCATGTTGGCCATGTCTATGTCTTCCTCTGTGAGATTTCTCTTCATGTCTTTTGCCCATTTCATGATTGGATTGTTTGTTTCTTTGCTGTTGAGTTTAATAAGTTCTTTATAGATTTTGGAAACTAGCCCTTTATCTGGTATGTTATTTGCAAATATCTTCTCCCATTCTGTAGGTTGTCTTTGAGTTTTGTTGACTGTATCTTTTGCTGTGCAAAAGCTTCTTATCTTGATGAAGTCCCAATAGTTCATTTCTGCTTTTGTTTCTTTTGCCTTCGTGGATGTATTTTGCAAGAAGTTACTGTGGCCAAGTTCAGAAAGGGTGTTGCCTGTGTTCTCCTCTAGGATTTTGATGGAATCTTGTCTCACATTTAGATCTTTCATCCATTTTGAGTTTATCTTTGTGTATGGTGCAAGAGAGTGGTCTAGTTTCATTCTTCTTCATGTGGATGTCCAATTTTCCCAGTACCATTTATTGAAGAGACTGTCTTTCTTCCAGTGGATAGTATTTCCTCCTTTATTGAATATTAGTTGACCATAAAGTTCAGGGTCCACTTCTGGGTTCTCTATTCTGTTCCATTGATCTATGTGTCTGTGTTTGTACCAGTACCACACTGTCTCGATGACCACAGCTTTGTAGTACAACCTGAAATCTGGCATTGTGATGCCCCCAGATATGGTTTTCTTTTTTAAAATTCCCCCTGGCTATTTGGGGTCTTTTCTGATTCCACACAAATCTTAACATGATTTGTTCTAACACTCTGAAGAAAGTCTATGGTATTTTGATAGGGATTGCATTAAATGTGTAAATTGCCCTGGGTAACATTGACATTTTCACAATATTAATTCTGCCAATCCATGAGCATGGAATATTTTTCCATCTCTGTGTCTTCCTCAATTTCTTTCAGAAGTGTTCTATAGTTTGGAGGGTATAGATCCTTTACCTCTTTGGTTAGGTTTATTCCTAGGTATCTTATGCTTTTGGGGCATTGTAAATGGGATTGACTCCTTAATTTCTCTTTCTTCAGTCTCATTGTTAGTGTATAGGAAGGCCATTGATTTCTGGGCATTGATTTTGTATCCTGCCACGCTACCAAATTGCTGTATGAGTTCTAGCAATCTTGGGGTGGAGGCTTTGGGTTTTCTATGTAGAGTATCATGTCATCGGCGAAGAGGGAGAGTTTGACTTCTTCTTTGCCAATTTGAATGCCTTTAATGTCTTTTTGTTGTCTGATTGCTGAGGCTAGGACTTCCAATACTATGTTGAATAGCAGTCATACCTAATTTTAATTCATGACTCAAATTAATTTTTTGTATTTGAGAAAATTGTGTTTAAATTTTGAGAAATGAGAGAAACATGTTTTTCAATGCACACTGGACACCCAATCCCCAACTATAAGAATTAAGTTTCTGCTTCTGATCTCCAGAATAGTCACTTATTAGACTTAATTTTGGGAATTTAACTTGGAGGAAAAAAGATACATTAGATACTTTTTATCTAATGTATATAGTAAATATGTAAACTATGTAATATAGTTTATTTTCAGGATACTAAGGACATGATGTAGAAATCCAGATATTATTTGTATGGTTTAATATATTTAATTCCTTTCTACTGCACTCTCTTCAGTACCTCATATGAACATTCTCTTTTGCTAACAGAATACAGCTACTCAGTTTAAAAAATTGAAAATAAAAATCTTAACAAATATATTTAGATTGAGAAAGACTTTTTTCACTAGAATTAAACAAGTTGTTATATAACCAGGCAATTCAATGAGACTGGTTTGCAAATTATTCTCTAGAAATTGGATATGATTATTATTGAAGAACCAATGGTTTATTACATAGTGTTTGCATTTAGGTGAAAAAAAAAACCTTAATAACAGGTAACATATATTCACTAGGTAATATTGTAGCATAGTCCTTAAGTATGGATGGCTGTCAAGAGTCAGACTGACACTTGACTGGAGTTGCAAGCCAATTCTTTCATTTTCCAGGTTTGCAGCCTTGGACAAATCACTTAATCTCTTTGTGCCTTTGTTTGCTCATTCGTAAAATAAATCTAATAATAAGAATATTTATCTCATAGGGTTGTTGTGTGGATTGCGTGAGTTACTAGAGTGAAGTGCTTAGGAGTGCTGTGTGGTGCTTAGTAACCAATCAGTATTAATGGTTATTATTTACTAGATGAGTGTGGGATTGTAGTGACCATCACAGATTTTGGAATCAGAAAGCTCTAGGTTCAAAACCATTTGCTAATTTATGGTGGTACTGAACCTTTTGAAGTCTCCGTTTCTGGAGGGAAGAAAAGGAAATAATTAAAATATATTTCATACTGCTTTGGTTACGATGGTTTACTAGAGCATCTGGCAAGGAATGGTAAACAATTCCCTGCATCGAGAGCTGTGAAGATATAATTACAAATTATTATATAATGTAGTTTTTAAGTAATTTTTAAAAAATCAGGATGCCATATATAAGTTATGTTTGCATTTTATGATTTGATTTAACTTATTCATTTGTCTTTTTTGAAATTCTGGATCTAACAAAGTAAATTTTATAATTGGGCACATTTCTAAAGTTCCCTAAATATAACATATGGCAAGAAGGACATTTTCAGAATTAGAGAATATCTCATTTAAGTCTTCATTTTATGTATTTGAAGATTAGAATATCTCAGTGACTATATTTTGACATTCTTTTTAGCTCAAGAACTTATAGTTGTATGTTGAAATTTAGTAATAATAATGGTGAGTACCATCTACTGAGCTAGTTATTGTGCAGTGGGGTTTCATCTCAAATTATGCAACATCACCATGTCATCTTCACAGCAGCTGTTCAAGAACAGCCTTATCATCTTCTTTTACAAAGGAGATGTATAATATGCATTGCACACTACTGATTTACATGCATACTTACATAACCTAAATTTGTAACAGCCTCATCACTTTGGGATGGCCGTATACATGTGAAGGCATATCCTATTTTATGAAAGTAGAAAACTAATTTGACTTTTGAAATAAAATTTTGAAAATATAAGCTTCAGATTTTCAGCCATGACCTAGAGAATAAATAGCTTATAAAATATAATTAATAATATTCCTTCTTTTATCCTCCTGCAACAACTGATATGAATAAAAATGAGAATATGCAATTATTTGAGATATGTCCTCAGTGACAGATGCAAGCAGGTGTTAGTTTCAAGACTGGACAATTTATCCTTAGTAATATCTCATTCAACATATTGTCT